TACCTCTTTTCCATATTAATTGCAACTAATTTAAACCCAAAGTAAAAGACTGAAACTTCTAAACATTACAAATTAAGTCCCCGTTCTAATACCGGATACGAATATTAAAATCTCGGAATGTTTGTCGCCAGTTTACGAGGAAGAAAAATGATTTCATAGCCTTGGTCTAAGCGAGTCCGCCTTAACAATGGTCGTTCCGCAGGTATCTTACGTGGCTTTTTTTTTTTACTTCAGCTTTTGCTCGTATAAGGGAACGACATAGAGTTTTACGCAACGCCCCCGACACGTTCAAACACGCTCGAGCGTGTTGCGACTTAGAAAGGATAATACGCGCGCGATTGTTTGTGGAAACATTTCTAAGATTATGAGAGTCGTTCGTGCCGCGGCGAGGAAAAAAGTCCGAAGATCATGATAGCCGAGACCTTGAAGACGAAACGCGAGTCGCCGGTTTAGAGGCGACCGTCCGCGTTTGCCCTGAACGTAATGGCGCTGGCGTCACTACGCGTGGGTACTCAGCGATCTCTTACGCAATTTCATCCATTTTAATCGCTTCGAATCTGTCTCTTCATTGATTCCTGTATTTTACAGAGTGGCAAGACAATCCTGAAATGAGACTCGAAGCTACTCTAGTTGTACGAGAATACATAACCTCAACTTTCGTTTTCGAAAGATTGCCTTTATTTAAAGTAATAAAGAAATACATTTTTCCATTTCTCCTTCGTTCCAGTTTCGATCATAATTTTTATATAATGTTTTGAAGCTCTGCTCGCCACATATGTATATGTGGTGACTTTGTTTCAACGTAAAAGGTGGAGATGATTGTATTCTCGGATGCGTTCCGGGTCTCATCGCGAAACGGTAACTTTCCCACGGAGAAAATCTGTTATTTTCGTAAGTGCGTCCTGACAGAGAACGAGGGAAACGAATTGTGCAATGGATTTTCATTTCACGTAACGTCGTAACGCCGTAACGAAGCGACGGAGTTACGAGCATCGATGGTTTGATTTCATTTCACCGTCATCCCAGCCAATAATAATTTTCGAGCCCTTCTATAAGATTAAAAATAATAATTTAATGTCGAAAATTCCATATCGATATAATCGGAACGTTTTAACTGCCATTGGAAACTAATTGATCCGACAACTGCCACTCGATACGCGAATAGAAATGCACAGATACTTTCTCGCGGCGTGAAAGACTAAAGCAAAGAGTAGCAAATTGATTTCTCTGTCATTCGTCGAAAGGTGGACACGGTTACGCTTGGGTAAATGAAACTCGTTATGCATTGTTGGCTACATCCTCTTACAACATGATCGATCTTAGTCACGGCTTCGTTATTTATACAATTCTGTGAATCACTCGATGTATGCAATTCGTTCCGATGGATTCAGCTTCAAATTTTATCCGCGAGTAAACGGAGAAGAAATGTTCGACTGGTCGGTGAATTAGCTCCTGCACATTGCTTCTAGAACCGTAGAAGCGAGCGTCATGATTCTCACGTTAATACCCGCTTCACAGCCGCTTCACAGCAGCATAATTAAACACGGGGCAAGATATTCAGTAGTCGGACGTCAGAGGTGTATCCGTGGATGCTCAACCGATAATGCGTTTAATGCGCCGCAAATGCCCCCCGCGTTTCCGGGCACAGACAATGACCATTAGGTGTCCCGATGCGTGACGCATGCTCAAAGGATTGTAACATAATCGAGGTCCAAACGCGCGAGGCCTCGAACGAGAGTGGGTCACCGGCAGTACAACACGCCGATTTAAGTCGTCAAGATCGTAGAATTAAATCGTCGCTTAAGAATTTTTCTTGAACGAAACGGAGGCACTTTAAACAAACCAAAGTTAGTCATCGATGATAATCCGCAAGGTGAACGTTCCAATTTGTACTCATGTCCCGATTTCTACTTGCATCGTTCCTTTTTTCACAGTAGGACCTCGAGTAATCGACTTAATCAGGGGGCACACAGCACCGATAAATCGAGACTCGAATGGAAATAGCTAAAAACGTGTTTTCAAAACCAAAGTGTCCCCTTTGTGACTAATTTTTCCTTCTTCTGTACTTCCATCCTTTTGGACTCATTTTGAGCAATGATTACATCCGCCTCGAAGATCCCTGTATTATTTTTAGGTTACCATTTTTGTACGTTGCGTCCACTTACTCGCGACGTTCTTATTCGCTAAATTTTACATACAATTAATAATGAATGCGATGTTAGGAATTGGATTTTTAGGTTTTATTGTTTAAACAGATTGAAAGTCATACATTTACACTTCGGTAACAATAATTGTTACTGTACCAACAGTAACATATGAGTATCGCAATTATTTTCACCCGCGCCACCAGATGGACCAAGTTCCTTGTGTATGCCAGAGATGCCAGACGGAGCGCCGGATCAGTGATGCCAGATCGAGCACCGGGTGCACTACTCACACATGCCAGATCACGCGTACGTGAGCTCGTGGAGTTTCGGAGAGTCGACAAAGGCAAACTGACACATGCCCCCTTTCTCGATTCTCCGAAGCTGCCCGAAGTAATTTCGGACCGTCTCGTGGGAGTCGAGAGAGGAAAGCTCATTTGCCTTCTCGCACTTGAACAACTAACATTCGACCTCACGTCGACGGCATACGATTCCAAGTCGACTGGCCAGCCTCTGTTGGCCTCTCCTGACCTCCGCTTATATTTCTGACGACGTATAACGATTACTACTTGCTATTAGTTGCCCCTGCTGGTCTTTGCTTGCCACTGCTTGCTACTGCTGGCCTCCACTGGCCTCCGCTGACCACTGCTGACCACCACTGATGCTTCCGACAACGTATAACGATTACTACTTGTTACTGCTTGCCCCTGCTGTCCCCTGCTGACCCCTGCTGACCACTCCTGGTACTTCGTGCAACGTATAACGACTACGACTGGCTACTGCTAGCCTCTCCCTGCCTCTGCTGGCCACTGCTGACCACCGCTTATATTTCTGACAACGCACAACGATTACTAATGACTTCTGCCAACATTCGCTGGACTCTGCTGACCTTTCCTGGTATTTCTGACAACGTATAACGATTACGACTGGCTACTGCTTGCCACTGCTGGACTCTGCTGTTCACGGCTAGCCTCCGCTGACCTCTGCTGACCACCCCTGATGCTTCTGACAACGTATAACTATTACTACTTGTTACTGCTGGTCTCTGCATGCCTCTGCATCCCTCTGCTGGCCTCTGTTGGCCCCTGCCGACCACTGCTGACCACTGCTGACCTTTGTTATCAACTTCTGACATGATGTATAAGTATTAAAGCCTTGTATAATGTAAATCTATGGCAATAAATGATATAATTTAACAGAATTCTACGTGTTCTCATCATTTTTACCTTTCTTTTCCTCTCCAAACCATTGCCTTAGTTTTAAGAGACCGTTTTTCCGGTTAAAATTGGATTCCCAAAGTGTCAGCCCTCGTACTTGCTGCCAAAATCAAAAATTAAAAGTCCTGAAACAATTGGAAAGTCCTGAAACAGCTGGAAAGCCCTGAAACGACTTTTAATTTTGGAAATCCCGAATCAGCTGGAAAGTCCTGAAACAGCCGGGAAGTCCTGAAACAGCTGGAAAGTCCTGAAACGACTTTTAATTTTGGAAATCCCGAATCAGCTGGAAAGCCCTGAAACAGCTGGAAAGCCCTGAAACATCCGGGAAGCCCTGAAACAGCTGGAAAGTCCTGAAACGACTTTTAATTTTGGAAACCCTGGAACAGCTGGAAAGTCCTGAAACAACTGGAAAGTCCTGAAACAGCTGGGAAGTCTTGGAATTTCTTGAAAATTTCTTGGAAACGCCGAAAATTCTTGGAAACCCTGAATTTTTAGCAAAGTTCTGATTTTCAGGACTTCCGAGGTGTTTTAGAACTTCCTAGTGGGTTCAGGGAAACCAAGGAGTTTCAGGGAGTCTTATAACTAAGGTAATGACTTGGAGAGGAAAAGAAAGGTAAAAAATGATGAGAAAACATAGAATTCTTTGTAATTATATCATTTATTGCCATAGATTTACATTATACAATGTTTTGATACATATATATCATGGTAGAAGTTGTTAACAAGGGTCAGCAGGGGTCAGCAGTGGTCAGCAGGGGTCAGCAGGGGTCTGCAGGGGTCAGTAGGGGTCTGTAGGGGACAGCAGAGGGATGCAGAGACCAGCAGGGGCCAGCAGGGGCAAGCAGTAGCAAGTTGTAATCGTTATATGTTGTCAGAAGTATCAGGTGTGGTCAGCAGTGGTCAGCAGTGGTCAGCAGTGGTCAGCAGGGGTCTGCAGGGGTCTGCAGAGGTCAGTAGGGGACAGCAGAGGGATGCAGAGACCAGCAGGGGCCAGCAGGGGCAAGCAGTAGGAAGTTGTAATCGTTATATGTTGTCAGAAGTATCAGGTGTGGTCAGCAGTGGTCAGCAGGGCCCAGCAGAGGCAGGCAGAAGCCAGCAGATGTTGGCAGAGGTTAGCAGAGGCCAGGAGAAGCCAGCAGAGGCTGCGAGAGGCTGGCAGTAGCCAGGCAGTAATGGTTCTACGTTGCCAGATGTAGCAGAAGTGATATCTGACATGATATACATATGTACGCTCTTATATAGGAATAATAGAAATGAATTTATTTTTGTTCAATAATTCAAATATGATCAGGGGGTCTTAAAACGTGTATTTCCGTAAGAAAAATTTCACAAAATTTTGTTCATTATAGTATCTTGCTTATGGACTACATACATAGGTCGAAAAATAAAATATACCCGGCCAGTCGAGACTTGGAATCGTATGCCGTCGACGTGAGGTCGAATTTTAGCTGTTCAAGCGCGAGAAGGCAAATGAGCCTTCCTCTCTCGACTCCCACGAGACGGTCCGAAATTACTTCGGGCAGCTTCGGAGAATCGAGAAAGGGGGCATGTGTCAGTTTGCCTTTGTCGACACTCCGAAACTCCACGAGCTCGCGTACGCGTGATCTGGCATAGTGTGAGTAGTGCACCCGGTGCTCGATCTGGCACCTCTGCGTCAAGTTATAGTTACTTCGCGTTTGTCGGGCTCGCTGTGAAAGTGTTTGGTGAAAATTGGATACGTGGTTTCGAAACGATGGTGGCCGAGGAAAAACCCACAGAGTCATTGAAAGAAAATCAAGTTAATGACGCCACGATACCGAAGGGACAAAAGTCGTATTCGCTAGAAAGTATCCTTTTCAAAGTAAATTTCCATACGTGTTGATAGTTCTGTAAATCCCATATGTCGTTTCCTAACCTTTATTTGTCATACGGTGTCCTTCGTAATTGAACGGGCTCAATTATGGTTCGAGATCGTAATGAGAAAATGATTTTTACAATTGGTCGCAATGCCATAGAACATTTCGTTAATCGTAGTGATTCTTTATTTACATTTGTACCTGGTATTCACCTTTCTTGCCATATTAGTCGAACGCGATTGTAAACAATCGTTATTTTGTACTACCTTTTTTGTATGTTCGAAAGCTATGCAATTGTATGATCGCTTAAATACCAAACAGTTTTAAAAATAATAAAGGAAGCACAGCAGCAACATGGGTTGAGACACGGGGATTACCAGCGGTACCGTGGATACTGCTCCAGGAGATTAAGGCGCTTAAGAAAAGTCTTAAAAATTCCACAAGGAGACAGGCGTCATTTTAAGAGGAAAGACATAATGCCTGTAATGGTTAACGACGATAAATTCTTACAAGTTCCATTGGTAATGGCCGAACGTGCATGGAGTTACGCGATGCAATTGCGTCAAGAGTCTAATACAGAACCGAGAAAAAAGTTTCATTTGATATCTAGACTGAGAAAAGCTGCTATGTACTCTCTACAGTTACAAGAATTAATAGAGGTAAGATAAACTAAATGTTTACATCTACTAGACTCTTTATGATAAACAATTTCACAGAATGTCAATTGCGACGCGAGAACTAAACTGGAGGCTCAAGCGTACGTGGCCTGGATTCACGGTTCCTTACATTTTGAGTTACAACTATGGAAGAAAGCGATGGAGAATCTGAAAAAGGCCCAAGTTGTATATGGAAAGCTGGCCTCTGCACTGCCGGAATCCGAACAAATAATGTACAACACGCGAGTCGAGGAGCTTGCTCCTAGCCTTAGATATTGTGCCTATAATATTGGTGATACCACTGCCATAGATGACTTGATGCAAATGAGGGGTCAGTTGAGCAGCGAGCTGTTGGCCAGCTTAGACTCGCTGATAGCGCAAACGCGAGAAAAGCAGGCGAATACGGAGGAGGTGACCTGGCGCGGCAAGTCGTGCGGTATGGTGCCGCCAAGAGCCGCCGGCCTTCTAATCGCGGACTCGAGATTGAATCAAACGTTAGAGAAAGCAGCCACGAATCAAGCTAAAATCGATCTGTTGGAGGCACATCTGATAGACTGCAAAGACGCGATCTCGGCTGTACGGGATTTTTTCAAGACCGAGCTCAAAAACAAAGACAACGACAAACTCACACCTTCTCAACATTTAATTACCTATCTGCAATATATCAGGTTGTCGCGTACCCTTGAGAGAAACCTGGCGTTGATCAAAGTGGCGGAAGAGTCTGCCAAGGCGAAACCGCAAGATATCGTTAGACTGTACGAGGCAGCTCTCCACAACCTCGTCGAAATCTCGCAGTTGCAAGACGACGAAGAGTTTGTGCACGAGCAGGAAGCTAAGACCAAGGTCTATAGAGCCTTTAAATGTTACTATTTGGCCCAATCGCTGGCCAACCTCCATCGGTGGCGAGAAGCGATGGCTCTGTATCAAAGGTCTGCGCAATATGTAAAGGATGCGCTCGAGTACGGGAAAATGCTTCCAGAATCGTTGAGGGAATCCCTCCACAAGCTTGAGATTTCCATAGAGGGTGCCAAGTACGCGGCGCATGCGCACAGCGTGTTAGAAGAGGGACAAGAAGAAGAGCCGGGAACCAATAAGTACACTAAAACGAAGAAACCTTTGTACGAACGTCTGCACGAATACAGAGAGGATCCTGCGCTTCTCACGAAGCAACCTAATGTCTATAAATTACCACCATCTACACAGCCTATCCCTTGCAAACCGCTCTTCTTCGATCTGGCCTTCAACATGGTCGAGTTTCCGGATTTGAGCGAGAAACTCGGTGATCAGTCTAAGGATGGTGGCCAAGCTGGTCTTACAGGATTCGTTAAAGGTTTATGGGGTTGGGGAAATAAATAAAACAAGGACATCGTAACCATAAGGCACTGGACTCTGAATATTATCGTACATTCCGCGATAATGTATTTTTACCGGTACTTAAACACCTCAACGGAAATCAAGTTTTCACTTATATCACTTGTATAATTCGCTTATATAATATTGAGTAACGGAAATAAAAATATTAATATATATATATTCGATGTTATATTTATTTGTAATATTAATTTATCCCAATTATTTTTTACGTTGTTCATCAAAGGGCAAAGTAGTTTTGAAACGCGCAGGCGTCGCTATTAAGCTACGGCCAATCAGCGTGCCTAGCCATCAAGTCATCATTGTATAGTATTTAATACCTTATATTTTTACCTGGGTGTGTTGTTCTCCAGGTGGAAATTCCGAGGTTTATGGCAGGGCTGAGTAACTGGTCCCTAGATGGTTGGAATAATGAATATTCATTTTGGAAAAATCTTGCTTAAATCTTGCCTAACAGAGAATATGAGCAGATACGGTTTTGAAACCCTGTTTTAAATGAAAATGGTTATTTCCAAGTTCCTATCAATCTATAGAATATTCGTACCAAACAACGAACTTTTTCGTAAAGATGCAAAAATTAGCGTAACGACTACGAATGTTCAACACTTGTTTAAACTTTGGCGGTTATTTGCAACTACGTAAAAGCAGAGACGAGATATACTAGTAGACGGATTGCGCAGGATTTCGCTTGCCGGTTTTCGACCAATGCTTTTTTTTTTTTAAACAGAAACATTGAATTGTTCGAATCACAAAATTTAAATATATTTTATATCGTGCAAGAATTTTATATATGAATTTTTATATGAACTTAAAGCAACGTATCTTTTAAAATAAAAAATATATCGTAGAAATAGCAGGTTAACCTTGATCATTCGGAAATCAACTCGTGTTATCGTCACTTGTTTAGAACACGTTTGTATTAAAAACTTGCAATCATGTTGAAATACTCGACTGCCATGGACGCTGAATTGAAAGAATTGGCTGTCGCGCTTTTCGAAATCGACGCGTTAAAATTTGGAGATTTTGTCACTAAAATTGGCCTGAAAACTCCGGTATACTTTGATTTGCGAGTGATAGTTTCACATCCAAAAATAATGGTAAGTTTATTACATGTGTACCTTTGAATGAATTACTATATACAGGCTGTTTAAGAAATATGTGTAAATATTCAAAGACCTGAAAAACATATTTTCCAGCAATTGTGCAACATTTTCTTTAATCATCCATAACTTAAAAAGCAATTATTTTATTGTAGATTCAGCTCCTTAAGTATTTACATGTATTTCTCGAGCATCCTATATACATTTTTTATTATTAATTTATTCTATGCTTGCCTTTGTACCTTGCACAGGCTCGATTGGCTAAGGTATTATGGAAACTCTCAGAAAATTGTTCAGACATATCGCAAATCTGTGGTGTACCTTATACAGCCTTGCCATTGGCCACTTTGATCTCTGTCAATTCGAATATACCTATGTTGATCAAAAGAAAGGAAGTCAAGGCGTACGGTACAATGAAGATGATAGAAGGTCAATTCAAACCAGGAGATAATTGCGTGATTATCGAGGATGTAGTCACAAGCGGTAGCAGTATTTTAGAAACAGTGCAAGTTTTAAGAAAAGAAGGCTTGGAGGTAAAGGATTCTTTTGTGGTAATTGATAGGGAACAGGGTGGCAGGAAGAACATAGAGAATCATGGAATCAGGGTGAAAAGTTTGTATACAATTACAGGACTTTTGGCATATCTTCTAGAAAGTAATAAAATTACACCAAAGATAGTAAAAGATGTTACAGACTATTTGTTAAGGTTCCAAGCACCCACTATTTGTGTTCAAGGTAAATGGATTCTTAGATTGATAAATTAATTTTTTACCAAATACCATTGGATTAACTTAATTTATTAAAAAAATTTCAGATAAACGATTAAAAACCCCGTTCCATATCCGTGCGTCTAACGCTAAAAATGCAATAGGCATAAAACTTTTCAATTTGATGGAAATGAAACAGTCTACCTTGTGTTTAGCGGCAGACCTGACCAAAGCAAATGATATTTTAGAGTTGGCAAATTTAGTCGGGCCGCACATCGTGGTGCTCAAGACACACGTAGACATAGTAGAAGATTTCGACAATCATTTCGTGAAACGTTTAAAAGAACTGGCTAAGAAGTACGACTTTTTGTTGATGGAAGATCGAAAGTTCGCCGACATCGGCAACACGGTATCTTTACAGTATCAAAAGGGTATATATAAAATAGCGGAATGGGCGGATATCGTTACAGTACACGCGGTTGCTGGCCAAAGTATCGTGGATGGTTTGAAAAATGGTTTGAAAGATATCGACGAGCCGCGTGGTATTTTTATGTTAGCTGAAATGTCTTCCAAGGGAGCTCTGACGAATGGCGATTACGCGCAGAATGCGATATCGATTGCACAAAATTCGGACATGGTGTGCGGCATCGTTTGCCAGTCGAATATCTTTATGAATTTAGGGCTCATTCAATTGACGCCCGGTGTAAAGCTTTCAAACAGTTCCGACGACTTGGGACAGCAATATAACACTCCAGAATCCGTTGTTAATTCTGGAGCGGATTTGGCTGTTGTCGGTAGAGGTATTACAGAGGCAGAAAACATATTGGCTACCACGTTGGAATACAAAGAGGAACTTTGGGCGGCTTACAAGAAACGAACGGCATGAATATAAGTAATTCGATTGCTTTATAGTGGGATCTATATAAAAATAAGAGGAAAATATATATTTTTTATATTTGAATATGTGCGCAATAATTAAAAGTTCGTGAATAATTAGGTAACAAATTTGGAAATATAGTAAATAGAGTAGTTCGTAAATGTACAAAGTTTTCGATGTATACGCATCGTACAACCGCACACTAATCTAACCACACTCTTGTACAAAATGTTTAAAATATATCCAGGTATTTTAACCGAATGCACACTTTTGATATCGTATTTTGTAGCTCGCGTAAATGCTATCATTGTCGTATGTATGTACTTTCTACTCATTCTGTAGTATGCGGTTAGATTAACCCCTTTGCGATCCCGTGAATTACTACATCTTAAAGAGATGTATATATATATATATATATATAATTTTTAAAAATGGAAATGCATATTTTTTGTTGCGCATATCGGTTCCAGTTGTAATTAATTTACACCGCCTATTACAAAATAATAAAAAAAATGTATCAGCTCGCGAAGGGCTAGAGATAAGTTTAAGATCACAAGCAAGTACTACATTTCACTGAAGGTTTGTACGGGCGTGACCAATATTCTTACTTTCATGCTTCCTTGCTTTTCGTAAGTTCTTCGACTAGTTTCCGAAATACCTGCGCTACCTGACTGTCCGGTAGCATTACTAAAACACTCTGCCCGGTTTCCGCTAATTTACCGACTTGCGGGTCTATGGGCACTTTAGCGAGGAACGGTACGTTCACCATTTTCGAAAGAGCTATTCCTCCGCCGGCGGAAAAAATATTTGTACATTCCTGAAATTATTAATTCTTGTACAGACAATAAAAAGTTTCTTTTATATTAAAAAAAAAAGAAGAAGTTTTCCACGAACCGAGCATGACGGACAGACAAAACCACTCATATTCTCGATAATACCAAATATATGAATACCAGTTTTTCTACAAAATGTTATTTCTCTCAAAACATCGTCTACCGCGACTGCTTGCGGAGTGGTTACTATAAGTGCACCATCGCATTTAACATTCCTGCAGAAGATAACTTGATTATTATTTAAAACTGTATCGTTTACCAATCATCGTATATCATTTATGTTTGTGAAATTTACTCTTGTAATGTGCATCCAAACAAAACATACAAGCTTATCAATCACATGACTTATCTAACTAAGAGTTATGTTTCCTTTAGGCATCACATGATTGTTAATCATAGTCACATGTGCAAAGAAACACAATACTCTTGGCATTATAGATTCGTAGAACAAAAACAGACTTTTTAATAATCAATGTCACAAACATATAAACGATATAAGAAACAAATAAATTTACTTTAAATTTTCCATCACTGTGATATGCTCGTCCGAGGTTCCCGGTGGTGTATCGATGATCAAATAATCAATATTTTGCCAAACAACATCGGTTAAAAATTGTTTAATCATGCCGGTTTTCTTCGGACCCCTCCAAACAACGCTGTCATCTTGATTCTTTAATAAAAACCCTATCGACATAACAGCTAATTTTTGTTCCTTGTCCGCAAACACCGGCACCCATCTACAATATACAAATAACGATAATAAAAAAAGGAGGAACAAGTAAAACTTCGCTTTAACTAAAATTAAACGTATTTTGAACCGAGTCGTGGCTCATCGTCGGTATCAAATATAAAAATGAAACGATCATGTGATAGATTGATAAAACTTTTAATGTACAATTTTTATGTTAATGGGAAATTTTTCATGGAAATTGTCTCAAATACCCATCCGAAGATTGATGAACATCTTTGCCTTCTAAATTTAACAGGTAAGGCACACTGGGTCCGCATAGATCGACGTCCAATAAACCAACCTATAATAATTTTGACGTGTTAGTAATTTAACCTAAAAAAAATACTATACGACGATGAAAAACTCACACGAAATCCGGACTCCTTGAGCGCGAGTGCTAATTGCGTACTGATGGTTGATTTTCCAACACCACCTTTGCCGGATAGCACTAGCAAAACATGCTTGACACCTTCCAACATTACGGAAATAAATGGGAAAGAGCTACCGGCAATGTAACCTCTACGATGGTCGGTCACGTTCTGATTGTTCTCTATTTTCAAACGTTTTCGTAACTTTGACTCGAAACAACATTTGCACGAACATTTTAATCACGGATTGGCTCGTTAAAAAATTCTTTCAAATTTACGTAAATTTACATAAATTTTCCTCATTTTTAATTGCCATTTCCACGCGATACATTTACTTTTGCAACATTCTAAATAGATCCCATGGTAGTGCAAATATGTTTTTAGCGTTAACGTTCAGTTTTTCGTAGAAACATTTTCGCAAGAAGAAAAATAAATAGAAAATATAGTTCGGCCTTAGGAAAGAATGATCAAAGTTTACCGCCGCGCCATTTTACCGACATCTATAGGTAAACCATCGAAGAATTCAATTTGAAATTATTAAATTTTAGATTTCTAAAATTTCTTTTAAACAAAAGGAACATGTTCACCAGTTTGATAATCACTCTTTTAACAAATTAATATTTCACCGTAAATGTAGGACTATTCTATCTTTCGTACCTTCACTTGCACGTAGCAATCAATAAATGCTTGTATCCATTAGCAACAGTGACTAAAAATGGTAAACACTACATTGTGCATTGTATTCTCTATTTTCTTTTTCCATATATTTCCTCCGTGATCGAAAAATAAATTTCCTTATTTGTTCAATCTTTGACGTTAATTACGCTCTTTTATTTAACTCGCTAAACGTGGTGTTTAAATACAGAAAATTCATTTTATTTCTGTTTTAAATATACAGATCAAATCTATTGAAAGAAATGTAAAGATATTATTTAATATCATATGAATTGTAATAGTTACTGTCTGTCTCCAGTGACCAAGCGTTTAACGTGTTAATTAAATTTACTCGATACTAATCAAACAGATACTATCAAGAGCAAAGCCAGCCTCTTCCGAGGGAATAAAACGATCCGCGACAGAGAAGAAGATCCCCAAACTAGAGGAGTTTTTGGAGAAACGTGATTACACAGGGGCTCTGACGCTCCTAGAGTTCAACAGCAGCTCTGAGAATAGTTTGAACTCCGAGTTATGGATGGGTTATTGTGCCTTTCACCTGGGGGACTACAAACGTGCGGCTACGATCTACGAGAATTTACGAAAAAAGGATCAAACGCTCGTGGAGTTGCCGTCGAACTTAGCATGCTGTTATTTCTATCTTGGAATGTATCCTGAATCACAAAAGGTTCTGGAGGAAGCTCCGGACAGTAAATTGAAGAACAGACTCATGTTTCACTTGGCACACAAAATGGGCAACGAATCGAAATTAACGGAGTACCATCATATGCTGCAGGATGTCATAGAAGATCAACTTAGCCTGGCATCTATTCATTATCTTAGAGCTCACTATCAAGAAGCTATTGATGTATATAAAAAGATTTTGCTGGAAAACAGGTTACTATTAAATTTTCTTCGTTTTGTTTCACAAACAATTCAACTTTGTTTCATGAACGTTTGCTCAGGGATTCGGATAGCGATGATTTAAGTAGTGTTGACGAAAATGTTGTTAACGATAGAAATTCAGATGTGCACATGATCAGAGAGTTGAAAGACACCAGGTACCTCCTTCCTCCTTATCCTAACTTCCATAATTCCCAAACTTCGAATAAGAACATTTTAAAATATGCAAGATCTTTCTGCAGGACTTATTACTTTAAAAAAGTTTTAATCGTGTCCTATCTTTTGCAGAGAGTATTTCGCATTGAACGTATACGTTGCATTGTGTTATTACAAATTGGACTACTATGACGTGGCCCAAGAAGTCCTCCAAGTTTATCTACAAAAGTATCCCGATAGCGCGATCGCGATCAATCTGAAAGCATGCAATCGTTTTCGTCTGTACAATGGCAGCGCCGCACAGAACGAAATGAAACAGCTGATAGAAAAAATGTCCAGTTCCTTCAGCTTTGGCCACGATCTCATACACCACAATACTGTTGTACATAGCATTTTTAAGATATACCTAATCTAGTACAGTGATAAATAGTTACGAAAGTTACCTTCTAGGTATTCAAAGGTGGCGAGGGCGCGTTACAAATTTTGCCGAATTTAGTGGACGTTATACCAGAGGCTCGACTGAATTTAGTGATTTACTATTTGAAACAGGACGACGTTCAAGAGGCGTTCAAATTGATCAAAGATCTCGAACCATCTGTTCCGCAGGAATACATTCTGAAAGGGATCGTTAACGCGGTGATGGGTCAAGAAACTAATTCTGTAAGCTCTCGATAAAATGTGGCGACGAATAATTGAAACAATCACCGGTGAAACTGTTTTCAGCGTGATAATATAAAAACAGCCCAGCAATATTTCCAATTGATCGGTTCCTCCGCGTCTGAATGCGACACCATACCTGGCAGACAATGTATGGCATCCTGTTTTTTTCTCTATCGTCAATTCGAGGAAGTTCTGGTGTACCTGAACTCGATCAAAACTTACTTTTCCAACGAGGACAACTTTAACTTTAATTATGCTCAAGCGCAAGCTGCCGCGGGTTATTTCAAGGAGGCGGAGGAAGCTTTCTTGATCATACGGAATGAAAAATACAAGAACGATTACATCTACATCAGCCTTCTGGCGCACTGTTGTAAGTCTTTAACGTTAATCTTTATTTTTTCGATCTTAATCGTTTTTTTTTTGCTTCAGATATAATGAACAAGAAACCTCAGCTGGCTTGGGACTTGTATCTAAAAATGGACACGACCACAGAGTCGTTCAACTTGCTGCAATTAATCGCGAACGATTGCTACAAAGTAGGCGAGTTTTGGTACGCAGCGAAGGCCTTTGATATGTTGGAACGTATGGATTCTAGCCCAGAGAATTGGGAAGGGAAACGCGGTGCTTGCTGCGGTACATTTCAATACATTGTAGCTGGAAAACAACCCAAGTAAGTCTCTTTCCTCCAATTAATTCATTTTGTAATAGCTTCCCGTGTACAGTGTCTCATGTTTGCGTTTTATATGTTTTTAGAGAACTTTTGTCGGACGTTATACAGCTTCTTAAGAACACGTCGAACTCGCAAGTGGAGCAGATCATCCGAGTGATGCGTAAATGGGGCAAAGACAACCGGATTAATTGCTAATGACACCAATCAAATGTATATAGACACGATATCATCATTTTGTTCACGAATAGACAAAATAAAAACTATTTTCATTAAAAACGAAAACGCAAGGACGGATGTTTCTCCATGTAAAATATCATCGCACGGCATTCATGATTTAATATAAAATAGATATATTTAAACTGTGATACACTCATTTTATAGTAATATAATAATAATATTAATAATAATCATCGTAATAGCAATAATAATTAATTTTAACAAACACAATCGGTGAATTGTAAAAAACACCATAGTCGATGGCGTACACCATCACATTCGCATACTTGCACATTTTTCGATAAAAAATTCGACATTCTTCAGAACGGAATGGATTCTTGGACGATCGCAGGGAATCCGGTCCCGTCGATCCTCGCGATTCCCCAAAAAACATTCCGATGGAATGGCTGCTGAAGTTCAGCGAAAGAAACAAAGAAGAACATTCAGCTCGGACGCCATCGGCGCCTTGAAGATTGAGCAGACAAGAGAATGTCAGGGAATTCTCTAACAACTCTTGAAAATATAAATACTTCTACGTTGAAACCATTCAAAATAAATCCACCCATTGGTAGTCCATCGATGGTACAAAGTAAAATAACGTCGCAAAGTTTCAGCACCTGATTTTCCTCGATTCGTCTTCTGGCTAGAGTTCTGCTACGATACGAAAACATTCAATCGTCTCCTTCGACGAAACAACGATCTCAGGTAAATTTTGAAAAAGTTTGACCACCGATGGGCGAATAATGGCCGTGAGAGCGTTAAGAAATCTCAACTTATGGGGTCTCACCATTTCATACAGAAGGCAGTAAAAAAAGTCCTCCTCCTTTCCAGCGGTCGACAGTCCTTGTGTGTCTTAACATTGCTCAGAGAAGGAGTGCCTTGGTACCGAATCAATCGCTATGTTTTTCGATATAAAAATAGCACCAAAAAAGTGTCTCGCGATGCCCATTCACCGGGCACACGAAAGAATTTCGATTTTTTCCCATTGTCCGTGTCGTGTCCACGCGAATTTCCACACGGCACTCATTCTCCGACATTTTGACGCGCGCTATACGATAAGTGGCTAATACATATAATAGTCCACCGGATAAAACAGTTTTACGAGTTCACATACAGTAATTCTCGATTCGTTTACATACCCATAGCTCTTTTTTTTTTTTTCTTTTTTTTTCTTTGTAAAACTAAACGGAAAAGAACGTGGTTCCCCGGTTCTCCATACATACGATGACGACGACGATGATATCTGTTGTCCGTTGAACGTCGATATTATCGCTAAAAACGTAGCTTACTTTTTTTTCCACTATGCTAAATGTGTATGTAAATACAGTAATGATAGAGTGAAAATCATCTTTTCTCCTCTCGTCCCCTCTCGTCTTATCAAACAGTCGTCATACGGAGGTATATGTCCCTTTCACGCTATCCTCGCACACTCTTTCCTATCACACTGTTTTTCTCTCCTCCGTCTTAAAAAAGACCAACGATTCTGTGCTTCCACTTTCCCACGCGTCGATACAATACGAGGAAAGTACTCCATTTTCGTAATTACTTCTTTTTGCAGATTTTTCTGTTATTCTTTTTACTTTTTGGCAATCTGCTGCCGGTCGATCCGTGACCGTAGCATGGGCGGCGTAATCTACCGTATAATGTTAAGTTTAAAACTTGATGCTTGCGTCGACGAATGTCGGAAAAAACTGATTCTCTACCATAATGCAACGTTCTGTCGTCTTTACGAGCTACGACAGTTACTTGTCAAGGCAAACGTTCGACGACAACACTTAAAAAAAACATCGTCGAACTTTGACCTTTGATACAGGGTCCCAAATACCAAATGGTAAAAGTCCGCTTCGTTGCAGGATTCTCGATATTACCACGAATCCCTAAAAAAATTCTCCGATTCCCCCGGGTGGTATCTCCGCGGGACTTCTACGACGTGATGTCTGGACCCCAAAAACATCTAAATTCAAAACTTTTTTTTAAACATCTACGTGCTATTAGCTCTTTGCAGCTTTCTGTGAAAGCAAAGCTGGTGCACTCAGGTTTGTCTCGTAACAATTGCACAATCGTCTTTACACCGACTTTACTTATGTCCGTCGAGAGAGCATAGTTGCTGGACTGCAAAGAGTCTTTTCTCTCTGTAGATGCTACAGTCCTCGTAAAGGCTTTCGCTCGAGGATACTTCATTGCCCTTTAAACAGAGCCTATTTAAAACGAAAGCACTTCCTCGTCAACGTTAAAACAGACTCAACTCGGACGTTGCATTCGTTTCTTATGTTATTCGCGCGTCGCACAAACGGGCTGTTAAGAACTTATTCGTACTACTATAGCGAAGCACGTTAAAGCGCCACCTAGAGTTCTTCCGACTCACTACTATTGCACCGCGTGTCTTTTGTCTGTAACGAAGTTTTGAACCCCTAAATTCCCACAAATTCGTACAAAAGAGAATAACTTTTCAACGTCGAAAATAATAAAAAATTACTCTATCTCAGCTTATATTTTAAATATTGAAAATTAGCGCCTGACAAATACGAGCACAAGACACCACGCGATACGCTCGGGCAATGGCCGCTTATCCACAGCAAAGTATGGATAAGTTTTTAGCAGCTCGATGTACTTACGTACAATCGCTACCGCGAACATCTTCGTAAGAACTTAGAACGGTAAATTACACGGTAAACTTTAATAGTAAGAAAAAACGTCTACTTAAAGAACCATATACACAGAGTATTTAATAGCGACGACCTTTGCGGAGAAACTAGCTTCCACCGGTTCCGATCGTGTCAGGGGGGGGTGGAAATTAATTTCGTCGACTATTGTTAATCCCTACGAGTAACCGGGAAAGGTCGAAGACAGTGAGAACCGTGGAATTCGAAATTGGCGACCCGTGCACGCTTCGAACTCCACGGACCACGCGCGAAGAACGTCGTTTGGCATTTAAATATGGCGTTGTTCAGTGCTCGGGATTTGCGAAGCATCGACGAACGTTTCGCAAATATTCGAAACCGGAAGCCGTAGCGCGATCGACGCGATCCACGTGACGCGACTCGGTACGGCACTGTGCATCGATCGGAGCCAAACAGTCGGAGCAAATTTTATTCACGAACAACGAATTAAGATTTTCGACTCGCGCGTAAACCAGCTTTCGCGCGCAAGTTTCGCTCGCCTGAACGAATCGAAATTTCACGAAAGAACAACTTCTTAACAATAGGCTTAAGACTAATTCGCGATCGTTCGCGGTGGGCCCGAATCGGTCGGTGTTAACCCTGTGCTGACAGCTATTCTTTGCTCTAATCACAACGTGGAAACCTCTAAGAAGGTCGAAGATTCATCACATAGTATCCGGTTAACCTAGGGTAATAAATTGGTTCGAGCAAAGGGTCGACACTTTACGGATCGCCATCTTTGTAACTCTAAAGAACCAACGTGTCAAAACGTTCCTGGTCGTGTCGATCGCACACGCGCTTCCCGCGACGACAGCTCGCTGACGTCTCTCGGTGCAAAAGTCATTTTGTCATCGTCGTTATTTCGTGTACTCGTTACAACGGTAGGCAGTTCGTAGTAAAAGACAGTGAAGAGGGCAATTCATAAGACACAAGCGAATATACACACACGTTTGCTAGTTTACGAACACACCGTGTATCCCGATTAAAGAGAAGCGGTACATGCTATTTGGGTCGTTAAGGGAGGCACGATAAAGAACTTTCATTAATACTGGTTAATGCGGACGATGATTTCGATCATGTGCGTTAGGAACTAAATGCCAAAGGTGAACCGAGGGTTTTAGACAAATTTACCTCGTGGATCTTCGTAAAATAGAAACAAATAAGCAACGGTGGAAAATTTACGCATCTTCGGTAGTTGCCAGTCAATTGTTCGGAACGAGTAATACGTGCAAAAGCTCGAAGACAAATCGTAGATTAATAGGAATCTACTTGGTCGTAATAGCAATCGAGTAGTTATTCCAAAGAGTGACCATAGAAAGAAAATTACTCTACGTTTCCATTTCGTTCTCGAAAAGAAAGAATACAGGTAGCTCGTTGGTCTACGCTCGTCACGAAGTCTAATATATACATTCGAATTGAAATCGGGGTTTTCAGCAGATAGGCTTCCCTTTCGACTAACTACTCGATTAAAAAAAAAAATGTTAAATGCTGAGAATGGCGGTAAACGATCAGTCGTACGAAGAAATCGATCGTCCAACGATTAATATAGCACTGACGATGTAAATCATCGCTCCATTACGGTTCGTTTTCTAATTAAAGTAAAATATAACAAAAAGGAAAACTGAAGAGAAGGTCGCAGCGCGATCGAAACTGTTCCCAGTTACGAAACCATTCGACGCAACGTGAACGTTTTCTCTTGCCCGATACGCTGTCGGTGTTTTAAATAATACTAAAGTTAAACGAATCGCACACGTAGATCACACTCTACACGCGCTCGCCGAAAGGTTCCATTTAGCCTACCTTCAGTCTACGTCAAACTTGGTCTTTAATTGATTTCATTGTTCGCACGGTCCGTGGCACGCGCATGAGGAACGTTGTGATTAAACATAGTCTCGTTTGCATTTCAATTTCTCTTTGCTTTTGAGCGTCCTTCTGTAACTGCGGGTGAGACTGTGAGTAGCCACGCTACTCAACGCTACCTTTGTGTATGCCACGGTACTTGTTTCCTAATTTCTGTCCCTGAAACCCATCGTTCAAACATTTCAGCATGCATTTCCGTATCTCCTTAATTATATCAGCCGTTTATTTTTAAAGTGGCCTAAGTCCATTTATCTTCAAATGCGTCCTGATATTAAAAATTTGTGATCTATGATTTCCACATTATTTTCCAAAGTTTGGACAATTTTTAACCACATTAAAGCTACTTTAATGTTTCTATTTTGCCCGGCGCACCATGTCGCTGTAAGCTATAATGTGTCTTTCGCTTCTTAAATTTTTAACATGTTTTAGGATGCAATAGTTTCATCCTAAACGTGCATGTAAACATAAAATATCTTGATTCAAGTATAAATGGAGTTAGGCCACTTTCAAACAGCACGGTTCAATTATTGAACTAACTCTGAAAACTTATGCGTCAAGAATGATCGTATTTGCTCGGAATATAAGCAGCCTGAAATGCTTTACTGATAAATATCATGAAGTTGTACATGTAACCATGGTAACCGGAAAAAAATTGAAAAAAAATGGAGTTAGGCCACTTTCAAAATAAACGGCTCATATTATTGCTTTCTCTAATGTAACAAACTAGCCGATCAACGAGCAACGCAAAGTTTTGTTTCTTTAAATCAATCTGTTTGGTAGTCAAACACATTTCTATCGTGAAGTTTTCTTTGCGGGGAGCTTTGATACTTTTAGGAAACTCACCCTGGCCCAGGATAATAATAGGGAGGTGGTCGTTCGTATTCTGTACTCAGCGGCGGAGGAGCCGCGGCGGCAGGCTGGTACCTAGGAGGACCACCATTAGGGAAGTTCCAATTTCTGCAATCAACACCGATCCTGTTAATAAGTCCCAAAAAACGTGTCTCCATCGTAAAATTTAGACTCTATCCTCCGTCGGACGGTATCGAGCAAGGAACAATAACACGAAAACAAAAAAACGAGATACAAGTGAAAATTCTCGAACATCGAACGGAAGTGTCTTTGCCACAGCCGTTTAATGCCTTAGCGAACAAACGAATGACGAAGCTGCTGAAGCGAAAACAAAGTTAACTTCGTGTCTGTAGACTTCCTTCGTTCAACAACGGTGACTCGAACTCGAGACTCGAATACATGCTATCTCAAAGTATTCCGTCGTCTTAACGCAATTTCTATATGCGACGGGGCGTCGATGTCGCGCGTGATCGTTCCACGAGCTTGTAGAAACCCAATCGGCAACAAAGCTCTAGGCGAAGCTATTTTGCCTGCGACGCAAAACGAATCGAATCAAACATAAATAGTACACAAGTAAATAAGAAATTATAGGAAACCAAGGAAAACGAAGTACGGAGACATATTTAACAATCGGTCTTACGACTTACGTGCAGAGGTGTATCGAGAGACGCGGGAAGTTGCCCCCCCGCAAGGTTCCCACTCACCTGGAAATAACCGGGAGAAAAAGCGTGACCAACGGGGTTGCATGAGTTGTACGGATGGGATCAAGCGATAGTAACGATAGTCTAAACCTGATCCACCCGTTTAAATCATTTATTGGCAATACTAAAACGAAACACATCTGATGTTAAAAAAAAAAGAGAAAAAAAACGTTTTACGAATTTAAGCTTTTAATGGAAATAGAAAGTCTGTTCTCAGTATGGTCTCTTGTGAATACCAATAGAATTTAATGAAATCACCTGATAAAAGGAACAATTAAATGTAATCGTTTGGGTATAGAAATACATATGGAACTTGATCCCATCCTCGATTAAGTTTCAGCGTGTTTAGAGAGACGTAGGAGCGAAATAGAGAAAGAATATTCGCGGAATGAGTGGGAACCCTGCTCACCAATGAAGCGAAAGACAAATTAAATGGCGGCGGACTGATTGGTGGTAAGATCAGGTCCCGGGTGTGACAGAAACCGAGCGACAGTACCGTCAAAACAGAAAACAATTGCGTAAAGTGTCACAGAAAGCTGAATTTTAAAAGATTTACGCTCCGGAATTAATGCAAGACTTACTGTGCTTTTATCGATACGCTAAAGACTTTACTGTGAGGTTCTGTTTCGGAGGGGATGGTAGGTTTGTGGCATCGCCACTTTGGGTCGGAACTGCAAAACAAACCAGAGATGAACTAGTGGACCGGAGAAACGATAGGAAATTCCAGAATCGTTTAAGAGCGCTATCGACACCGCGCTGTTCGGTCGGTGCTCGCTCACGAGAACTCAACTCAAGAGGCATTTGCAATCCTCGAGAGCGCGGTTTACGCTCCGCTAGATCAACAACAGTTTCTCTCAAAGAATGAGAGACAATGGTAAAAATAAGGCGATTGGAAAGAAAACGGTTTCGTAAAAGGACAAGATAACTCTTCATCGAACAAGAAAGAAAGAATCGTTTCGTTCAAATTGTCACGCGTAGTCTTCAATGGATAGTTGCTACATTAGTAGTACATTCGACTATACACTTAACCATCGCGCAGCGGACTCCGGTTCTATCCTGACCCATAGAATCTGTTCACTTTAGAATCCTTCTACAGGGAATTAACGAAATTCAGATTCGTCCGCCGTTCGAGGATTAACTGTACAAATACTCGTACTCGTACTTTAATTTTTGTTTAACTGCCTTTCAACGTGTATCACCAACTTAGAACGTATATCATCTTCTGACTCAAGTAATTCTAAGGGTACGTCTAAAAATTAGGCAGGACAATTTAGTGCATTATCTTTGCGAGACAAAGTCTAATAAAAAACAATATTCTATAGAAAAGTTTGATGTAATTGTACCAAATATGCAGCAACGAAGCGGAAGCTGATTTTATTCGGACAAGAGATCTCAGAACTCGTGGAGTCTCGTTCAGAAACTTATATTTCGATCTTGAATTATTCTGTCCCTTAAGTGGTCTCCGTTTCGTGGATCACGAGCAACTCGTTTGTGTACTTACTTCGGTGCTAAATCAGAGTATCTGGATTCGTTGTGGGACGTGCTCTGATGCGCGTCAGAGATCCTCTCACGATCGTTGTATCCAACCGCCGGACCGTCGTAGCTGTCGACGTACGCCGACGTGTGATGTCTGTTGTGAGCTACGTATTTCTTGTCCTGACTGCTGCAACCAAAAGACAGGCTTTAGTCGCGTAAACTGCGGCCCGCGTTGGTACTCGTCATGCGAGTTAGAGAATCAGTGTACTGTTTTGCTAGAAGCTGTTTCTGCGTGTTACGTGTGTCATTAATGTTCCTAGATAGCTTTGCGCGCGTCAAAGATCAGCCTCCACGCCATTGAGCTCAAGTTACTGTTTTACGCGTGTAAGAAAGAGAATTCAGAAGCTGTTCTTTGTTAACACTTTGAACGTTCCGTGCATCAACGATTCCACATATGTATCAATACGATATAATTTATATTTGTCGCGGCGTTTAAAATGTTAACAGCGCTGGGAAGGTGGTGTACGAGCGTTAGTATACCGATTAACACCTTCTAGACTGATGGGTGTACGGAGACATTGTTCCAAAGTCTCATCTACCGACTTTAAAATGTAGTCAAGAAGACGTTAAAAGCGTAAATAAATTAGCGGAGAATTGGCTACAATCTATACAGATATACGTCCAAGTTTAAGCGATATTGTAGGATCTTTTTGGTAGAGAAATATGGTACAGATTGACCCAAGTCTTTCAGAATGTTCTCTACAACTATTCCATACATATGAAACACTCCTGATCCCACAATATCTCTTTGAGGGTGCTGGTCGCATCAGAGTTGAAGGATGTTTCGTGCAATCAGAGGAAATGACAATTCTAATGGGATCTGTCTATGCGACTTCTTCGGATACTCTACGTCTCAATGGCCATGAAGTATGCTTGGAGCCTGGGTACAAAGGAAATCAAGTGGTGCGATACACTGCCTGAAATTTACATAAAATCTTGTACTTATTGCACGTCTACGGCAGGCCAAGTGGCTAAAATATTACTGGCTTTATGGAAATATTCCGGCAATGTAGTCACGACGTGATATCACAGCGTCAGGGGCAGATGTATACATGCGACACAACCAACAGAAGTTCAACATGCGAGCAACTTGGCTTTCGTCGTTGTATACTTACTGAGCAAGGGGTATGTTATCCCTGTCTGCGTACGCGTCATACAAATATTCACTGGAATGGAGCGTGTTAGCGGTTAGATTCCAACAACCATTCCACACATTAGACAGCTACTTTTAACTTAATATAAACTACTGTATCGAGAGTGGGGTAAGGATTCGGTTGTCCGTATTAACTTTTCCATTGTCAAAATTACACACTTGACGTAATTTTAAATTTCGATCAAAAGAACAATGTATCGGACGACTGAATCCTTGCCGCAAGAACATACACTGCGGAGCATACTTGAAATTTGTCACGATGTAATCGACATATTAATAATATTCGCTGGATTTATCCGTATCAATCTATTTAATTCTTAACGAATAATACTACGTAATACGAAATGATCATCAACGAAAAAATAATTGTTGTTGCGTAGTAATGACTATGCTGGGTGCTACAGTAGTCACTTTTCTTGGGTCTTGTTCAGGCAATAATATTATTACTAATATTTGAAACTTTGAGACTCTGGAAGAATCTAGTGGTGCCCCTATAGTTATGTTCCGCAGTGTATCGGCGCCAGACGTTTTAGCGTTCTCATTTATGATACGTTGTGCGATCCCACGAGATGCGTACAATCGAGACACGATGAATTATTAATTAATAGCACACGGATACACTGAATAGACGAAAACTGAAAGTAAATAAGGCAGTGCGCCGCGTTTATTAAGGGTATACGAGAGAGACTGTTCGGGAAGACTGGCGATGCGACTTCGATGTTCGTTAACGAAACAGTAGTATGACTCATGCCGTTTAGAAAATGAAAGGTATTGCAAGCGCGAGTAAGTGCATGCTATGGGTGTATGGAAGCTCGATTAACTACCAGATCGAGATAGAAGATTCAACACTTTCTACGTGAAAGGAGCTCAGAATTTGCTGGCGAAGAAATTAATAAAAGCGATTGTTTCGGAGTGAACGTGACGAGTAATTGGACAGAGTGTCCTTTTGTTCTCTGAATTCCCTTCGTCTTCGAATAAAAAAACTTTGTTCCTTTTTCTCGACGTGGAATCACCCCCCCCCCCTGCCCGATGATATACAATCTTCTTTAAATCTTTATTTTTTTTAATTTCACGAGTGATATCGAATGATCTCTATTTCATGACAAAGGAGACGTTTTCTTTTCTTTTTTTTTTAACGGTCGACATGCACCAGATATCTAATTATGTCGTGGGAACATCTAGTAACATTTGGTTCGTCTTGGGAATTAAGCGACGCGGAAATGAGAGAAACTTACGCATCGACCAGGGGTCCTGGATATGGGTCCGACTTCTGATACAGCGCGCTCAGTTTCACGCAGAGCACTATGGTCGGGATGAAGAGGATCAAGCACCAGCCGACGCTCACCCAGAAACCGTTCTGTGCATCGTTGACAAAGAAACAAACATAACATTTTGCATCGTATCGGACGCCGTAGAGGAGAATTTGTTCAATGATACGCTTACAAATGGATCCAGAATTTTGTTGCAGCCGGCGACCAGCGTGGCGTTGTACGCGTTCGAAACGGGACCACATTTTCCAACCCGGGACATTGCATTCTCGATCGTGTTCTCGAGGAAGTCGTCGACTTGACGGAGGAAAGCATTTCCGAACCTGGTTGCTAGCTAGAAAAAAGCAAACGAAATATTATCCTTAACGTGATTCGATCCTCGAATCGCGAAAACTTTGATAAAGAGCAAGATTACATGTTGAACGTATTCCGGCCCGTCTTTGTTCAGGAACTTCTGTGCCTTTGTGACTTCGTCGACGAGGTCGTGGATGGCTTCCGCCATCGAGCTGTGATTGAACTTTATGTTCTCCTGGAGCGTCAACGCTTTTTCGCTCAATTGCTCGCTGAGCGTCGCCATAGGCACCACCAGGTCTTTATGGTAGAGCTCCAGGTCCACCGCGTTCTTCTCCAGGCTCTCGCGAATGTCCTTCTGGTCCTCGGGCAATTTGGTCGCGACTTCCCGCAGCTGCCTCGCCAGATGCTCCAGATTTATGTTGGTGATGTTCTCGGCGAGTATCTCGGCGTACTGATAGAAATGTATATCGCTCAGACCGCTCTGCGCTAGATCCTTCAGCTTCAACTTGGCGCTCTCCGTGAGTATCACTACGTCCGGGGACAGATTAATCTTGTGACGCAATTGTTGGATAGTGTTGTTGATGTCGTAGCGTCCAGCGTAATCGCGCAGCGTCGCGATGTCGAAGAGATTCTTCAACCTCAACACCTTGTACAGCGTCTCGTTCAGGTGGCAGTTTCTGTGACAAAAGTAAACACTATTTCACCGACGCTCTAAACACACCAGCGAATAAAATTATAAGACACCCCTGATAGCTACACCCGTGATCACCAAGTCATAATTTTCAGAGACATCGTCTTATAATTCAATCCACCGGCGTGATTCAACTCCTTGCTTCACTTACGTAACTATGTAGCTCATGTTCACGTCCGCGTTGGGGTTCTTGGGGTACAGGACCTTCTTGATCTGAACATAGTCGTCGATCAACGCGAACATCCTGTTGTCTTTGGGATTCTTCAGAGGCTCGCAGATTGCTCGTTGGAGCAGAACACCGGTGACCATGTGCGCCACAGTGATTAACATCAAGACGCTCGTCAGAAGGAAAATAATCCATACGGCCCTAAATAAATCCACATATCGCTTACTACCCTCTAACTTCCTACTCGCTACCGTAACGATCCCATTAAGGGAGCATTCTTGGTCTGGAAATTTGAGGAAGGATGCTTACATCATCAAGAAACGTGCTCCGGATCCTTTATTGCAGCAATCGTCGCCGTAACCGTCGGGACGTTTCCCGCAAATTCCGCAAAATAGGCCAAAGGTCAAACACATCAAAACGGTCAACACAATTCCAGATATACCAAGACCCAGATAGTACCTAAACGACCAAGTAACGTTGTTGGCAACAGGAATCGGTGGTACAAACTATCACACCCTAATCAAGAAATTTACCTGTACGGTGAGTACTGATCTATGTGGGTCTGAGCAACGTCCAGGCGAGGCATGTAAACCCCGTCTATGAGAAGGCTTGTCCTGTCGAGGAGAGCAGTTATGTTCTCTGCGATACTAGACGCGAAGTTTCCGAACCTTCTGATGCTCGCGCTGACCACCGGAATGGTCTGATTCACCGCGTGCTGGATGTCCTTCTGTATCTTCAGGAACGACTCCTTACCCTGGCTGACCTCCGACACGATGTTGCCTCTCATCAGCATGGTGATGTTGTGCAAGGCAGAGGTGACGTTCGGCAACTGAAAGAAATCGTGGAAATTGATTGCAGGCCTGTCTGGCGCGCGAACGATCTCACATCGTCGGAAAAACTTGTGAACATTTTCCATTAAAAAGAATGCAGTAGAATCAAAGGTGTCTCGTTATGGAAGTTCCAGTGTCATGCTCTAAGGCTTTCTAAGTAAACATTTTCCTACGCACGAATAAATCGGAAAGGTCATAACATTGCGGCGTGAGAAGTGCGTTGAAATGTATGAATTCTTTTCTTTTACTTTTTCTTTCAAAATTGTTTACAGTATGCACGATTCGGTAACAATTCGATCGAATGCAGAATGTGCTGAGCTGAACACAAAGTGCAGGAGAAAGTATTCTCTAGACGCGTTTACGCAGATGCAGAGCAAACAAAATCTGTGCCTTATATATTAATTAAACGGTGCAAAGTGGAGGACTGTTTCATTCGTATTCGATGCTCATCCCGGTTAAATGAATTCCTGTCAACCGAGGGCCAAACAGCTGAACTTCGTGCTTCCTTTCGTCAGTGATCCGTATAGACTGGATGCGATACGAGGCTCCTAACAATAAGCCTAACGAGTATTTTTATTCCTCGTGCATCCAGTGATCTCACGCGGAATTACGTCATAAACAGCGACGTGCATAATTGTCCAGGTCGTTGAATTTTCGCAGTATAATTGCCCGCAACGCGTTAACAGGGATATGTGAAAAGTGACTCGTAAACCCAGAAACAGAAACTTCGATGGCTGGTTTCGCACAGTTACAGGAACCTTTGCTTACAAGCCTTGTACCGCGTCTAGTATTAGGATGGATGCAATTAAAGTCCACCTCTAATGTATATAGAGATCAATGACCGAAAAGTAGAAAGTGTAGCATGAACTTGATCATTTGCTCCCTTAGATGGCAAAAATCACCACCGCCAATTGCACTTTTGCGTAGCTCGTTGCTGAAAATAAAATAAAAATGCAACTATCCTTTCCCCGTATCGCGTGAACTATACATGTCGTTTCACCCTTTCGCCCGCTCTAAACATCACACTTAACAGACGTTTTCAATAAACGACACCACACATATCGAACGATACACAGAATTCGAAAATCGACATGCTTTAGCTTACAACTTACAGACTGAAGCTATTGTGGCGAGCATGGAATCAGACAAATGTATACAGTAATTCTGTTCGTAAACCAATGGTTGCACATTTATAAGGCCAAATAAAAAGCGGCTTATAATTATTGTCTTTTCTCTTAACTGAGAATTCACATTTAAACATAAATGACTCATGTTATACATAGAACGATAATAATTTTCTCAAAATCTACGTTCCCTCGTCAGAAATTTTTACGTTATACTTCATAGGCTGCTTCATTTTGCGGAATAAAGATATGACAGCATTATTTGCAATAAAAAAAAAAAAAAGAAGAAATGAATAAATTGTATGAGTTTTAGGAAAATATGCCCCCTGGTGTTTTGCAACAATATTTTTGCACACCCTGTATATGCTTTCTTATCAAGCGATAAAGTCATACCTTCGGGAAGTATCGGTCCATGTACTGCATGCGTGTAAACGAGAACCAAACGAATTATTAGACAGACAAATGACCGAGGTCGATGCTGGAAACAGAAAATAGCAAAGTACAAAATACCTTGTCGAAGTCTACTTGAACCGACATTTGGTTCACTTTGTAATCGTTCAGGACCTGCTTGCAATTCTGGGTCTTGCACGCCGACAGCGTATGGAGAAGATTCTTTTTAACGCCTCGTACAACTGAAACGAAGACAACGATAAATGATCATCGGTCCAAAATCGTTCCAACATTATGCTAGAATATAGTTTAGAGTTTTGGAATTTTCCTCCTGCCTTTTTCTAGTAATTCTTTAGACTTCTCTATATTCATTCTGCAACTGCTCTACCCCAATCCTTACTCTATCAATTTCTATTAGAATATTCTACTCTTTCTCACGTAAAAACGAAGAGGATCGATCAGTGTTTCGAGTATGAAACACCGAATCTATCAAGGGACGATATGATCGTGAACACGAGGCGAAAGTTTTAAAGCAAGTACCGATGTCCAACTGGCTAGCATTCGTCCGTAGATCACGCGTGATGGTTTGCATGGTCTTCAGGTCTTCCTTGATGGACTCCAAACCAGCCACGATGTCGCTTAGATTGGTCAGCGAGACTGCGTGGGAGTATTCCGCGAGTTGTTCGGTGACTATTCTACCGCTTGCTTGTAGAATGTTGTTCAGATTGATCTCCAATTCATCGAAATTAGTATTCAACGCGTTGTCGACCTCTTTCTTTGTGGCGAACAGATACAGTTTCATATCCGTCAGACTGGTTTTGATATTGCTGGGTAGCTTTCTTGTGCCCTCTTGCATGTACTCGTTCGTGACGAACGCGCAAACAACACCGAACCTGCAATCCACATCAAGCGACGCGGTTACGCCAGCAAACGCAGCTAAGATAAATCATAAATAAACTGGGATGCTTTCTTAATCGTCGAGCAATTACTCATAGCGATATTTTTGTCGATTATCAAGTCCGTGCAACCTAAATTCAGTATTAAACGATTGTTACCCGTATCTCGAAAGTTACACTTGTTATTATAATCCAAGCCACGAGCTCAGGATGTGAGCGTAGAATTATTATTTTCTCGATAAATATCCTATTTTGGTAATTTTGTATTCCATGATAAGAATTCTAATTAGCATTTCCTATATTAATTATGACGAACTATAAGAATATACTTACAATATAATTGTAGCAACCCCTATGAGTACCATGCTGAGTATCACCTTCTTGCAATGATCGTGCTTCCTGTCGAACGGTTGACTCTTAGCACCGCAATGGCCAGCGCACCTGCAGCAGCAGAAAAACAACCCCACGCAAGGTAAAATCGCCGCCAGGAGAATGCCAATTAGGGTTAGGCCTGCCAATCCACCGTAATGGGACACGATGATCTTCCAATCGGCCCAGGTATACAGGAACGCTGGTATCAGTCCGTCTCCCACAGTGAGCATACCTGGGGGGCACAGAAAATTCGTGTTGACCAACCCCTTGCACCATAATATCGTGTAATACTCGTGACAATGTGCTTTACAGGGTAAACATACGAAAAGTACGTATCAGACTCGTGGTATGGTACCATCGATCATAAATAAAGGATTTTTAAAGGCATTTGTATTCTCAGTTATGCTTTACAAAATCATCACGAAGAGGCATACTTTTAGTTAAATTTAGTTAATGTACAGGAACGAGATGATCGAGCGCTTGTGAGAGAGCTGCCCCTCTGGCGGCGAGTACGGGAGGTACAAGTGGACTTTAATGCCACTGTTTCCTTACGTAGCAACGTGGTGAAATTAAAAGAATCGAAATTTATCAGTAACCGGGCACATAAATCCATAAATGGTGAACGATTTGGACAGTTTACTCCAACCTGATAAAAGTATCGACAGATTCTCTCAACTTAATGATTCTTAAGATGGGCATACGTTTTATTAAGATGTAAAAAAAGCTCCCTCTTCGGTTGGAAGGAAGTTTCAACATAGGATTCACGTTGATTTAAAGAGTCATTAATGCGAATGTAACGAACAATTGGAAGTAGGCGGGAAATGGGATGCGTCGAACGGGCATTAAAGAACATATTTTTCATCTGGAATTCCGATAGCGGTTTTTGGGGCGAGAACAACAGGGGGAAACGAGGACACGGACGGATGTAGGGCGTAGGTCAGGAGGAAGGGTTGCCGGGTCGAAGGGTGAACGTAACGGGAACGTACGAGGAAAATTTATTTGCTAGTTGGTCCTGGGAAAAATGGATCAAACGTCGTCGACCGGTCGCGGCGGATTAAGACCCCTGGACCGCTGCATTGATTTTCTGATGCACCACACTGCGCTCTTCTTAGGACGCACATAAATTCGCTACCGTAGTCTGTCGAACCCAGAAACTCATCGACTAACGAAATAACAATTTTCAGCAAGATAATATATCGTTGTTCATCACGAAAGCTTCAAAATAAGCCTTCCAAACTGTTCGGTTATTGAGTCTCGCGTGAATCTAGTCTCGAAGGAGAAACATACGCTTCAAAAGTACTCGTGCGGACCATCAATTGTACCAAACGAAGTGTTATAAGCTGTTCTCAGTTCCAAACGCATTTTCGAAACGGTGGTATTAATTTTTATTATTTATTTGAATAACATTTGCTTCGATATATTTGTTCCATTCTGCATGGTTATTTTTTATTTTTAATTTGAAAATATGATTTAAACCCGTAATAATTTTTAATTTTAAGAGTCCCATTGAATCTACGTCTCCGGATAAGAGTGCTCTTGTAAACAATTGATTTTGAATGTTTCATCGATCGTTTTCAGAGCGCAGTATTTAGGAAGAATGTTGCACGATGCACGTGGCACGATCGATTATCGCGATTTAAATAAACTCGCGAAATTGCTACGGGCCGTTCGCATGCAAAGGGAATTCCGCCGATACGGTAGAAACTAGTTCCTGGCATCGCAAACTTTCGTTTCTAGCGCAACCTGCACCGCCGCGCCCGGTGCATCGAGCGTGCATCCACGTGCACCGACGGATTTATTGCGGCTGTACAGGTCTTGGCAAAAGCTCCGCGGAACACGGAGTTCAATGTTCCGACAGCGGTGCATCCGAACCTAACTGTATCTGTCATACGAAACGATAGTTTTCGCGATGCATTAAATTGCATCGGACAAGGCACACCGGGTGCACGACGCGACGCGTGCATAAACCATAATCGAGGCAAATTCTTTCCCTTGAACGTTGGTTCAAGAAGTCTGTCCATAGACTTGGATCCGCGAATTAATTTTGCACGTGTTTGCACAAAAAATGTGCATTTTAGATGAATTTAACCAGTGCAACGTCGAAAGCTCGAGGAAAATGTGAAAATTTTTTTAAATGAGACTTCTAATCGGCGAAAGACCCGAAAAAACGAGGCGACTCCTGACTCGAGTGATTAATCCCTCTTTTCATTCTGCCAGCGGATAATTTCTATTCGCATCACCTACTTCGCTTAAAAAAATTTAATCACTCGCCGGGGGAACGTTTTCGACGTTTCCATAGTCTGAAAAATTCATTTATGAAAATGCAAAAGTATTCGTTCCAACGTGAAAAAATTGTATTCGCATGGGACGTGGAGGTAACAAATATTTTATAAACATACTCGAAAAACGATTTGTACAGCGAGTAGATTGTTAGTAGACTTTAAGTACAAGCGCAGGAATCAAGAAAATAAATTGCAAACTAAATATTACGCTAACTACAGTAAAATTACGATTATCCGGCGATTGTAAAGGATTTTTTCTCGAATTTTTCTACAAAAAATGATTGCAATTAACCCCCGCAACCGAAAATATTTTTTTAGAACGATTTGAAACTTTTTAATTACGCCGAAAAATTTGTTCACCCATTGAATATTTTTCTCGAAACTGCGTAGGATTTCGGGGGTATATGTATTCACCAAAAATGATTGCAATTGACCCCCTCGAGCGAAAATAATTTTCCCAGGACGATTTGGAACTTTTTAATTTCGCCGAAAAATTTGCCCATCTATTGAATTTTTTTTCTCGAAAATGCGTAGGATTTTGGGGGTATGTCTGTTCACCAAAAATGATTGTAATTGACCCCTGGAAGTGAAAATAATTTTTTTAGAATGATTTGAAATTATTTAATTTTGTCGAAAAATGTCACACCTTCTCGAATTTTTTTCTAGAAAGTGGGTAGGATTTCGGGGGTATGTCTATTCACCAAAAATGATTGTTATTGACCCCTGCAGCCAACAATAATTTTTTTAGAACGATTTGAAATTTTTTAGTTTTGTCAAAAATTTCACACCTTCTCGAATTTTTTTCTAGAAAGTGGGTAGGATTTCGGAGGTATGTCTATTGACAAAAAATGATTGTAATTGACCACTGGAAGCGAAAATATTTTTTCCAGGACGATTTGAAATTTTTTAATTTTGCCAAAAAAATTTTTCTTAAAAGTCCGTTTTCGATTTTTAATAAATTTATTTGACGCTGTACGGAAATGTAGATTAATACTTTTTTGTAGGTGGCCATGAGCTTCATATTTTTACGGGGATTCTTCGCCAAACTCGTGCTCAATATGATTTCCATCGAACTGTTCTAATGTTTATTAACATATTTCGTATCTTATAACAGTTTTTTCGAATTCCAAGGATTACCTCTACCCTTCGTCAACATCGACGAGCTTTCATCGCGTCTGTCTTTCGTCGAAATTGTAGGACTCGAGCGTAATTAAGGAAAGAAATTAGTCATTTGCAGGATCAAAGGAACTTCGAAAGCCAATTCTGCCCGACGAAATTCGAGTAACGGCAGTGGACGGGCCAATCAGAAACGGAGGCCATCGTCAATCACGTTCCACGAACCGAGGGACGGAGCTAGTTAGCGATAGTCGGTGATAATAGCGAGCAGAAAGATCGTCGTTAGCGCTTTTATATGCGCGTTTGACACGGAGGGGAAGCCCAGTAAAGTGTTCTTGCAACGGTTCTCCCCGGAATACTCGCAGACGTATTCCTCGACCTGAACATTCTGAGGGAAAGGAACGAACACGGAGATTTTTAATTGATTTTAAAAGTTCACGAATTAAAATTAAGGCAAACAAAGAATTCAATATCTTCGAAACCTACAATTCCTTTCATCCACCAAGTCGCAACAGCAGTTACTTGTTTGACCAAGGTTTCAAATCGTTTGAACACGGATCGTACATTAAGATCGATACCTACGCAAACATCGATATACTAAATATACACGTATCGATAGTATCGAACAAGTCTTAAGTCCTATCGTTTCAACAGAGTTTTAACAAAAGTATGTGCAATTTTTATCAATCTAAAGTCAAGTAATGCTATATGGAGAAACCGTCGCTATTTTTTCACGGTGTTTTATCGAAATCGTGTTACGAGAGGTTTCGAGTCAACTTGAATTTAAAGCTGAGCGCGATGCATTCGACGAGAACCGTAGAAATTCGTTAAATCCGGACGATACTGGAAGAAATTTTAAGTAAGATGGATTTCACGTGTATGACCATATCTGTTAAAAGACCGCGAACGTCAGAGCGATAAGATATTATTAACATAATCGTGCTGGAGGTCAATGACTCCGGGAAATCGATCGAAACCCTGGACGATAGCGAGTCTGTTGTACCGTTGCACCGGTGCACCGATGCAACGAGCGCTCACCTGACTGTAATGCCCTTCTTTAATTATTCAAAGGGCTTTCTTCCGACTCGAATCCTTTGACCTACGTTACCCTTCAAGTTTCCCGACATTTTTATATTTATTAATTGCACGATTCGAAAGTTCCATCGACAAAAGTTACCAAACCACCAGGTGCAATATCTTTTCCCTCTTCGACGGAACAAAGTATTTCAGAGCAGAGAACAAGCCTATCGGTGATCTAATTAATTCAATAAGATATAGATAAACGATGTCGAATTAGTTTTCAACCTCGAACGCAACGATCGTGTCGTTAAATAGAAACTGCTTTAGGCGACCGTAGTTACGTCTTGCACGGCTAATCGAAAAAAAAAAAAACAAATTTTCCTTGCAGTCCACGGGCACCTGACTCCACGCATTATGAAATAACCACCGTCCAGTGTAACCGTGGCTTTGTAACACGAGAAAACCTCGACCTCCGTGCTCGGTCGATTTCCGGTTTGCAACGATGCGCGTGGATTAAGAGCCACGTTTGCAGAAGACGATCTTGTTTCTGACGCAACGCTCGAGTGGATCGTTACGCGGGATTACACGCGAACGTTCGACGTTGCAAACAATTTCGTAATTTGTAACGTTCCATTTATCCGGCGATCAAACGATCCTTGAAATTTTCGTTTCTAACAACCTCAAAATTATTAAACAGTCTGAGAATTTTCATACTAGACAGAGTGTTTCTTAAATGTGAAAATTGTATCCCTGCTGCTAGAGAAATCGTTTATTTTTGTTTCTACCACCCTCAAAATTATTAAACAGTCTGAGA